ATTTGGATTTGTATTTTAAAGTCTTACTTTAAAATCCAACTATTAATTTAGTAATTCCAATAATTACTTAATTAATATCCAAAGCCCAATTAATCAATCCAATTGATTAATTTATATTATTCATTTAATTGACATCTAATCAAAATTAGATTTACTTAAATAATTAAATTATTCAATTAAGTCTTGTCAATTAATCCAACTATTAGAAATACCAATTTTAAAATGTCATCATCCAAAATATGGTGTGACCCTTTTAGGTTCACGATTAACACTAGTAGTGGGTTTACAACTCATTTGTAATTTAAATTAATCTAATTAATTTATATTCTTGAAATTAACTCATTAATTTCAAGAACCCACAAATCATGGTAACACCTAGCAAGTAGCATGATTATCTAGTGTTAAGTGAAATAGCGAGTAAACCTTTTCAATTGCAAGTGCATACATGTAAAATCCTTTCGACAACTAATTTCCCGATTAAATCTTGGGCATGGATTTATAAGTCGAAACCCAATTGAATTAATAACTACGATTCCATTTCAAGTTTAGTGATTCCTTTATGAATCCGCATTCATCCTGCCTTGGCCAAGGTCTTTTGAATCACAAACTATGAAAAGCAAAGGAAATCCACTTATCCACATAAGTGTCGAATTCTATGTTGGCCACAGACAAACCTCCATGCACAATGATACAGTACCCAAAATATCCCTTTTATGAATGTCCAACAATCAAAGGATAAATCAAAGTAAAGCACAACATGCACAAGATTACTATTGTGCCTTAATTCAGAAGATCAATCATGTACTATTGCAACATGAAAATTCTTATCCGACAGTTAGAAACTTCCAACTAAGAATTTTCATCGGGCCATGTTCAGTGAACTTGTTCTCCAACAAGCACCCGCATATATGCATTTGCGTCCACACGCTAATGTTGATGGAATGCAACATCCTCGTCCGACGAGCATGCATCATATGCACAAGAATACAAATACAAATAGCGGGTGCAATAGCGGAGATATAGTGGGATATAGCGGCTAAATTGCACACGAATACAAATAGCGGCACGCTGCCAAAAAAAGTTATTTCTCAAATAGCGGCAAATTTAGCGAGCTATTTATTTCCTTGGGTAAAACTATCGACTTTTCGTTAGAGACGTGATGAAAAATGCAACATATAGTGAAAATACACTAACAATAAACGACACAAGCAAAGTTAGTCTACAAATGGATGAATACTTTAACTCTGATATTGTTATCGGTCATTCATTCTAAGATAAAAATATGATGGAAAAACAGTTGAATAAACAAAATATAAAGTATATTCATTGTGATGTTAAATCGTTGTTGTAAACAGTTAACAATTTTTCTACGAATGCTCCCTAAAGATCAAGGACAAGACACGACCCCTTGATGAGCTCTCCGTCGATCTGAGAAGCATCCGAGATCGAGGCGACGCAGAGAAGGATCCAACTTGGAAAGGAGTTGATCAAGAGCGTGCGTGAGATGAATGCAACCACCTTCAAGATCGATGGAGCTATGGAAAGACACATGGTGGTGATGTCTTGCGAGTTCAGGAAACTTCGCTCTGAGCTTGTGCATGGGGGAAGGACATGGCCTCGGTTTTAGGCCTAATTCGGGTCATGAGTTCGATTTCATTAGATACTGAAAAGTTTGATTTTTTTTTTTCCAAATCAATGTTTATTTGACGTTTAATAATTTTTTATGTTTAATATATGAAAAAAATAGCAATGTGATTTGAACTTAAAAATCTTGAACGTAATCGACCAAGAACATTTGATCTAACATTGCTAATCAAATTCTTATTGGGAAATTATGAGGTAAAACTATCGGCATTTCGTTAGAGACGTGATGAAAAACGCAACATATAGTGAAAATACACTAACTATAAACGACACAAGCGAAGTTACTCTACAAATGGATGAATACTTTAACTCTGATATTTTTATCGGTCATTCATCCTAAGATAAAAATATGTTGCAAAAACAGTTGAATAAACAAAATAGAAAGTCTATCTTTTGTGGTGTTACAACGTTGTTGTAAATAGTTAAAAATTTTCTCTTGTGCCGTTAAAACACTATTATAAATGTCAAACTTACACTAAACATAAATCTACAACTTATTTTCAGTGTATTATAGGTTTATAAGAAACACTTATTTTTATTGTGAATTTACATCCAACGTATTTTTCATTTATCGTAGATGTATAAACCAATACAAGATACAATTATTTATCGTAGATTTTTTTTTTCTTGCTTCAAGATATTCGTACTAGTATTAATATTTTTTTTCATCTCGTTCATAGATTTTTCATTAAAGTTAGCTAATTAGTTTTAATGACATAACTTAAACCCTTTAAAATCACATAATAATAATAATAATAATAATAATAATAATAATAATAATAATAATAATAATAATAATAATAATAATAATAATAATAATAATAATAATTTTCAACTAATTAGTTTGTCACAATCTTTCCAAAATTATAAAAGTTATATTATTTCTTATAATTTATATCATCTATATAGTGATTTATATGTAAGTTATACAATATATATTTGATATGGGATAATCATACCAGGTCGACTGGACCAGAGAGGAATAACCAAATCGGTCTGGTCATCGAGTCGAAGGGAGAAAGGATATTGCTCAGGTTGAAAGACTCTTTGGTCGAAGAAAGCACTGGAGGCCAGAAGATACCAAAAGGTCGAATAGGGACTTTGGGAGGGCCTGGTCGAAGGTCACATGAAGAAGAATATGGTCGAAGGATCGACCAGATGAGCAAGACAACAAAGCTCATTGTCGACGACACCCCACCTCGAGGTAATTGAGATCGAGTCCATGATCAGGCCACCTAATGGGTAGAACTTAGGGATAAGAAGAAATCTTAGAGGAATTAAACCCCTCACATGAGTAAAACCACGTGGCACCACTCGAGTGATCAACACCTCATAACCATCTTTAACAGCCTAGATAGCTCTTACAACTTTGATTACTGAGGCATCTCACGCGCTCGCTACCAGGAAGCTCAAGCGCCCGACTTGGGCTCTAAGGTATCTTCTACCTATAAAAGGGAGTGTGGTATGCCTGAAAACACATTACATCCTCTATTATACACATTATATTACAAATGAAGTTTTCTCTCTGTACACTTCATCTTCTACATTTACTCATTTAAGCAATTGAGGCTCTTCACTGGAGACCTCATTCGTTGTGAGAGTTCTGCAGGTTTGATGACATTAAACCGGCAACCAGCTCGACATCCAGGCGTTTTCAGCTCGTTCTGCTGGTTCGAGGACGTTCAATTGGCTTCCAGCTCGAGATCCAAGCGTTTCCAACTTGTTCTAACCGGTCGGAGGCCTTTTTGATACCATCTTTTGCATCATTGTTCATTTTTACTATTTTTCAAAATTTTCAATTTGATATACTCATCTAACATATAACTTTTTAAATTGCAAATAAAACTCAACTTTTTCAATTTTGAAACTGAATACCAAACATTTATTAAGTGTTGCAATTTTGTCTCGAAAACAGATTCCGACCAATGCTCGCTGACATGGCAGATCAGAAAACTGACGTGGAACCAAAATTTTGAGCAATAAACATTTTATACTCTGTGATACGTCATTTTACATGTAAGACTCCATGTCACCTCAATGACATGTAGGAATGCCACTTCATAGCCTCTTAACTGATGTACCCCAATTTGATGCCCGATTAATCAAAAAAAAAAAAGGAACAAAAAACTCAGTTGCGACTCTGGCGATTCTTCTCGGTGATCACCTCACGATTCACCCCAAAAATCTGTCGCTCTTCTTGATTCTTCAACCGAAAAATAGAGTTCACTACTTGCTTGAGGACTTCCTTTCGACTCCAGGCCCTAACATGTATGATCTTTCTTCTCGATTTTCAAATTCCTCCAATTGTTGAGGAATTCATGTGGATGTTGATCAGATGAAAAGAATTTTGATGAAGATGGGGTCAGAATTTTGGATTCATGCAGGTATAATTTATTGAATTTAGTGTTTATTTATTAAATTTTTTCAATAAATGGTGTGAATTTTCTGATGAGTTGTATTATGTATTATCTGTATGAATTTATTTATGGGTCACAATATTGTAAAGTTTTCTTGATTTCTACATTAAATCTTCAATTATGTATTATCTGCATAAATATTCAAGTAATTTATACTTATATATGTGATTTAAAACTAAACAACGTGAATTGACACAAAATATTTTACTACTTTATCGACAACTGCTCAAGATTTTATGACTTATATTTAAAGCAAAGGCGGGGACTACATGCGTTTAAAAATTTTTTAATACTGAAGTTGAACCGTCGGTGGACCCAATTTATCAGCTCAATAGTGAACTCAGCGGTTCAATTAAGAGAGATATTGGCTTATAGAGTAGCTTACTATCAGCAAACATGGAGAGGTTTTGAAGGGGGAAGAGCTTGTTATAATGATTTAACTCGACTTAAGAATCGACATGACTACCTTCAAACTTGTAATGACTTGGAATATAATCGCAATACAGATCGAAAAACACAATCGCATTATGATAAAAGCAAAAATAATAACTATACTTCAAATTCTCACGATGACAAAACCTAGTGACACAATCCCATGTCAGCCTCCATGATCACAAGCATGCAATTAAACAATGTAGTTACAGTATGCTATACATAATACTCTGGTCTGGTTTATACTCCCCCAGACTCTTTACACATCAGGTAAACTCTTTTCAGTTTTCACCGAAGAAAAGAAAAAGCGAAAAACAGTAAATATCAAGGAACCAGAACAAGGCAACTGAAAAAAGGCCTAGCAACCGAGAAAACCAAACCCAAGGTATTACAAATTCACTCGTAAAAAAACTCAATGATGCAAAGACAACACTTACACATTGGCTATATAATAATACATTTCCTATGCTATGGTTTAGTTGGAGGGTCGACGTATGTGAAAATTCCTCATGCAGATCTGTCATCAGGCCCGGCAAGCATAATCTGCGAAAATATACGATCCCAGTAAATGAGAACAGTTTTGATGTTATTACAAATAAGTGAAAGTAAGTGATTTATTTTTATTCCCTTTTACGAATCCTGATGCTTACATTGCAGTCGAACGCGAATCTTCTTGCTAGCATTATAGCAGCGTTTCTTTCACGCTCGGATTCGAACGCCAAAATAAAAGACAATCCATTCTTTGCTTGCCAATATACTGACTGAGCTGCTGCATTTCCACCACCTCTAATCCCACACAACTGATGACATGATACACAAGGCAAAAACTTGTCTCAGACGGTCAAATGCAAACAAACGATAGCTTTTTTTTCTCCTTTTTCTTTATTTGTCTTCAGAATTTTTTTTCAAGATTTTAGTTTGTTTGGTTTCTCTTCAGAATTTCCGGTTCATTATATTTTCCAAGGTTTTCCTTTTAAAGGTTTTTTTTTTTTCTAGATTTATTATTTTAGCCATTTTTAATTTATTAATTGTTAAACTTTAGAAGAATGTCTGATAGAAGATAAAATGATCTAGATTCTAACAATACCTTATTTTCCAGCTTTAAATGTAAGGATTCTTTAAGCTGCCATTGATCTTTAGTCTAACTGAAAAAATGTCCACTATCTTCCAACACAGTTTTGATTATGCAACCATGGGGTATTTTATGTTTTAAAGCACGGCGAGGTTTTTATATAGTTTGCCTCGAAGTCTCTTTTTTTAACTGAACCATTTCTGGCGAAGGAGCTAAGTATATTCCAAATATCCATGGAATCCAGTCCAGAAAACGGCTCGAGAGAGAAGAAAAGTTCTTTGGATAGTATGGAAAATTAATAGTTTGTTATGACACCATATATGACTAACCTGCATTGAGTTGGAATAGTACTCCTTGGCTATTGTTGTTTTCCCCTTTCGAAGTTTTATTCTCATCTTCCCTATGTGCAGAACATGGATAGACCCGGACGGTTGATCTACATCGTTCATCTGGATTAGGACAACCTGCAATAAAATTTCTTTCTTTAATATTATACACCCAATAAGAAAAAAAAATATCAATAATACTTTGATTATATATAAATATCGATAATTATTGGTTATTTTATCAACTTTTATTTTTTACATATAAAATAACAAATTAATCATCTTTGTATAATTTTTTTAATTTACCACTCAAAACCCATAATGGGCATATGAAATAAAATATTATTTTTTAATATTTATATAAAAATGTTTATTTTTCCATTAACTTATTTGTATATTTTAGATCAACATTAGTTGAATCGCTTTTTCCATTCTAAAAATGCAAGTTTTTTTACAGTAAGTATACACCATTTCAACATTTATTATCTAATAACTCTTCTTTTCATTAAATGCTTTCAAAAATCAAACAAAAAAAAAAATACAAATATCACTTATGCCTTTGGTTGAATGTAATTTTTTCAAATTTTCAAAAACAAAAATCATCTTAAATATTAATTAAAATATGAACTAAAAAAATAAGCTAAAATGTTATGTGTAATAGTAGTAATATATATGAAATTAGATGTTTTAAATGCAAAACTTTACATTTTTGTTGTGAATAATCTTTATTAAGTTGTATATCACAATAATGTAAAACTTTAATATATATTTTACTGGTGATTGAAAGTTCAGACCATAAGCGAAGTTGATAGTTTCAAACGACCAATAAAATTTAAAAAGATAATGTTATATAGAGAAGACCATTTGAAAGATTATAACGATGTGTATAACTAAAATTTACATTATAAACAACAATTTGTTTTAATTTTTATTTATATTATTAAATTTCAATGTTATTTAATACTTATATTGACCTCGCTCATGCAAGTGCACGGGTAAAAGAGTGGTAGTAAGTATATATTAGAACTCACGGTGAATTCAGTGTCGTGCCTGCGCACCAGTGCCTCTACATAGTTACCCAATCCAGCAGCTGTCCACAAAAAAAATTAATGTAGTTGTCAGAAATATGATAACTATTTTTGTAATATTGTTTTTTTTTTCAAAAAAAAATAAAAAAATACACAAGTTTAATGGACCTGGATCAATAAGAGCAGAGGTGGACACGGTTATCAAGCGACGGTCATCAGTCAAAATATCAGCTCTCAGTATTCGACCAACATCAAACGGCTCCGGAGCATACACAGTTTTGTTGGCCCCTGACAATGTAGAGCCGATAAAATATATCTTCAAAGTTTTTAGAGATTAATCTCTGACTGGAGCACAAATCTGTGCAGGTAAATCTCATTTTAACTATCAAGAACATTTGTAATTATCCTTCTTTTTGTATTTATCTCGAAGAAGCTTAGTTGTGCAGGTTAATCTTTGGCAAAATATACCTGATATAAGCTCCTTTTTGTCCCCTTCAGACGTCACACGATACCATTGAATAGTACATTCAGAAAGGTCAGGAGAAGAATCCAAACACGGATATATCTGCAGACATGAACCCAATGTCTCTATGCCGTCTATTTCGTACAAATTGGGTGTGTTTTTATCACCCTTCTTGCTAATTGCTAGCTGAAATGTTCATTGAATTAAGATTTTTATACATCAGTGATGACTACCAAGTTTAACAAAATAAGAAAATTGAAAAAGGAATCTTAATGCCAACATGGAGAATATCAGCATGAATGACGTGCAAATGATACACTAGCATATATTCTTGTTATCAAGGAAGAGGTATGAAATTTAGTTCAAATAACTAAAACTTGAAGGTGGAGAACTTGAGCACGAACCGTTTTTGAGGATCCTAAGCAAAGATGGAACACAAAACAAAAATAATTGTAACATTTATCATGCGTAGCATACAGCAATTCTCGAGAGAATTACGGTTATAGAACGTGATACTTCCTTAGTGGTCCTTCAGATTTTATATCCAAATCCAAAATTACCTTGTAGTCTAAGTTTCAGCCAGCTATTCAATCTAGTAAATTAACATATAATTTCTGGAAGTATTGTTAAAGCAAACAAACAAATCCTACATGGTTGCTTCTACTTCTAACAGCAATACTGTTAATGCGAAAATTAATTAGTAACACTTCTGCATTTGTTTGGCTTCAAATCTCGTGTAGGCAGAAATTGAACACAAAGATAAGGGAAAAAGGGACAAGAAGAGAGAGAAACCTCTTTCTGGAGCTGTAGGGAACGTTTTGCCTTCTCTGCAAGTTGAGTCCTTAATGCATTAATCTCATGTTCCATGTCCATGACCTGCCCCCCGAAAAAAATAATAATAAAAAAAAAAAAAAAAAAAAAAAAATCACTCCTGTATTAGAATACTAGATACATGTGAAGTACACAAAAGAAGACTGGTGTCTTGAGTTAAAAGAAAAAATAAAAAATGTTTTGAGTTTGAAGGCATATGCCCTTTGGAGGGAACATGTCATACCATAAATATGTCACAAGTTGGAATATTGTACATAAAAT